AATCTTTGGGATGTGCTAGAGAGGGCTTTGCGCAGCGGTCAGACTCTACCATCATCAATGCAAGATCTTGGTGAAAAATTAATGCAACACTGGATGGAAATAAATCTTTGACATTGCAGAAGCTTATCGAAACAATGCCATAATCAAAGCTAAAGGCGGTCCAACAAAGTATTAGAGTGAGTGACCTTTTTTTTTTGGCCAGGCAGTGTATTTTGGGGTTGTATTCGACAACTTTGTGCCATATACAATCCAGACTTCTTTTAAGAGGTAATAGTTATTGTTTTATTATCTTTGGTACATTTTCCTCAGCTTTTAAAGAATTATCTGTTTATAGTTGTAAAGGGTTCTTGCTTTTCCACAGCTATGTGAGCAACTTAATTACACTAATCCATAACCACGTTCGTGTTATTTAGGTGTTTTGAACTGAGATACTGATTATAGTTGTTGCTCTACATTTCCCTCTTCATGGAAAGTGCCATCAAAGAGGTTCACCATGAATGCAACATGATAATGTGTAAAAAAAAAAAAAATGTTGATTTGTACTGAATGATAGCTAAATGTGGTCAGCTAATCAGAGGTTATTCAGCTCCTCAGAAACTTAACAGGAGCTGTTTCCTTAGTGGGTCCTGATAACAAGCCAGGCTTGTGAATGATCGTCTTAATTCAACAACTGGATTATTTGCACGGACAGATGACAAGCAATCAGATTATTTACCAACATCCTCTACCCACCTTCAAAAGCATTAATTTCAGGGAATGTTAGGAATCATTGTGAACCCTTTCTGATTCATTCTAGCTCCTTTTTAAACCTTATTTATTCCATATTCTCTTAACGTCTTCCTTACCTCTGGCATCTAAGCGGATGATACGGTTGTTCTCAGCGCTGTGTCAGCCATCCCTAGCCGACGCACTGATGGATTCAGGAAGAGGTCAGCTACATGTTCCATAGATTTGATATCTGTTGATGCTGGAGACTTGGACAAAGGACAAAGACGGAGAAACAGGATTATTAAATGTGTTGTCTACACCATTAAGCCTGATCCACACTGAGAGGAGCGGTTATTTACAGGTCCCATTAAGGCTAACAGGAAGAGAGGTTTGACTGTTGCTGTTGCAATTAGCCGAAGGCAGGATTTACGCTCTTAGGCTGGAGCAGGTAATCAGTTCTCTCGGAGGGATTTTCATTTTCTCCCCTGCTGTTTCTGGTTTTGTGTGTAGTCCTGCACCACCCAGAGAACTAAAACTGGCTTAATTATGTGTTTGTGTGTTTCTGTAAATCTGTGTTTCTGTGTGTGTTCAGTTTGTGTAACCCTCTTCTTCATCCCTGGTTCAGATTCAATACGGATCCCCTATGGTACCAAGCTTTCCCTGTACATGTCTAAGGATGCTGAAGGTACTGCAGGATTCTCATCCTCAGCTCATAAAAACCCCTCATAAAGCTGCCCCACTAACATGCACACACTCCCAGAGTGTATCACCCTGTCTGCTCCAAGGCGGCATGTTGACTTGGACGTTGGTTGAATGTTAAGTGAACGTTATGTTATGTCTTCCTCATCCTCCCACCTCTCTTTCTGTCTCAACTAATTAAAGCATCAACGTGAGAAAAGAAGGAGAGGGCAAAAGAAGTGATAGCGCGCAGGCAGAAAAGTGAAGCAGAGGTGATAACGTCAGTCAAGAAGGAGGGATTTTTAATTACAGGGGGAAAAAAGAGGCGGAGGCGAAGGAAAGGTATGGAAGGGTACAGGAGGAGAGGGAGGACTGGCGCTCCTGCAGGAGGGGCGGGAGGAAGAGGCAGAGAGGGAAGGAGAAGACACGTCTGTCGCAGCATGATTTACAGATTGCACTGTCGCCATGGAGACTTTTGTCAGCCTGCTCTTCGATCCAAAGTGGGAGTCCAAACAGCGGTGCCACAGTTTGATGATGGGGGTGAAAAAAGGGCTGCTGACAAAAATCTCCGGCTCTACCTGCCTGCGCCCTCACTGCATCTGCTCCGCGGGGAGGTTTTTATGGATGTAATTGCATCAGTAATGAGAGCAAGATGCTGTTACAGAGGTGGCTGAGGGCCGCCTCGACCTCCACTGGCTTGATCACTCACCGATGACCTGCAGTCAAGCAGCTCTGCACAATTGGGCTCTCATTTAAAACCCAAAACAGCCCTAACATTTGACTTCCAATAATTGGCCAGTGTGAAGGAGAGCACAGCTCCCCCCCGGTTCAGAAATTAATGCATGAGGAATATATTGATCTTTCTGATTATATATTCCTTATAACTGTATGCTTTTATTTTCTGTGTGAGCACAGCGTTCTGTAATTGGACTAACACAATGTACCCGCCAGACATAAGTAGTGACCCTCTATTTTCCTGCGTGGCTCTTTACTCCACTCTCCCACACTGACATTTCCGATGATAGCCACCAATTCCATTCATTCACACAAGCATGCATTATTAGAGCAGTGCCAAGCTACTGAGCTTCAACACTGCACCCTGCTGGCACAATTGATGTTTGCACAATACAGCTTTGTGCTCAAATTGTGCAAACTTAAAAAAAAAGATCAGTTTGTAATGATGAAAAGGACTTTAGGCTCTAGAGTATAAGCTGAGTACTAGATCGTCTGCTACGATTAGCTTCTGCTATATTTCATTAGTTTCTTTTGTAAGGAAGATTAATTTTAAGTCTGCATGCTGTGTCAGTAAACAGGGCTATTAATCATCTGAATTGCTTCATTTAGATCGATTAGATGAGTGTTCAGGCTTACATAACATGACAGGATGGTTTAATTTACATATTTTGGTTTTTAGAGTAGATCTTTCTGATCAGAGGTTTACATACACTACACTCAGCACTAGCAGGAATTATCTGTTTTTCAGATCGGAAAAACAATAAACAACTTCGGTCACTTTTATCAAATGGTTCTATTTAATGCAGAATTTAACTAAATAGATCAAAATCATGCAAGCAGGCTCAAAAGAATATATTTAAGTTGAAGCCACCATTTTTTATATAATTGCTGAAGTTCATTGACATGATTTGATTACTTTAAGCTTAGTTCACAAAACCATAACAGCATTCAGAGTACTGTTATATATGATTGATGTTTGGCCCCCATAATTCATTCAAAATAAGTCCTGAAATAGATTTTGATAATCGTTCTTCCAAAGCAGCTAGCTTTCCATGTTTTTCATTCGTCCAGCTTCTGATGTGAGGTGAATTGGATCGATTTAGATGTCGTCTTTCACCATAAATGTTCTATCTGCTTTAAATGATGCACTTTTACCAAAGAGAGAAATAATGTGTTTTGTGCGCTTTAGAGAAAATCTACTATAAATTCAGATTCAGACCTTTTTTGGTTTGTTTTTTCATGTCAGTGCAGGTTTATGCTGATTTCATTGCTCAAATGCAGAAGAAAAATATTAGATTTCCTTTACATTTTTAACAAATGTATGTAAACCTCTGACCATGTGAAACATACTGATCGTCTTTTTTAAATCAAAGCAGGATATTTTAATTGTTGTGATTCCTTAGTACCATGTAAATTTGTTATTTCTATGTATTTTTCTATATTTAACAGTTGTTTTGCTGACAAATGTTATCACAATCGTCTTGCTGTTGTATTTCTTGCTTTATTTTAATGTCGTAGTTGCTGATTAGTAATCCCATTCTATTACTGCTTTTACCAGTTATTGTACTGGATATTCCATTTACCGGTATGACTCTTTCAAAGGGTTAAAACCCTTATTCCTCCTGCAAAAACAGTAAAAATAAAAAACAAAATTTAGACAAGCTCCTGAAAAAGTGCTGCAGGTCAGGACCATCATATGTATTTTTATAAACTATTGCATATTCCTTTGTTTTTTCTGGCATTCTGTTCCTTGATTTCTCTTAAATCACATGAAGGACTGTTCTTTATTTTCTTGATTCTTTTTCTTCTTTTTTTTACCCTCTGGGATTTCTCCCACCAGGTGAAGCAACATGTAAGCACATCTTCAAGATTCCTCTCTGTAACCTGGTGGGCCGCAGCATCGAAAGACCCCTGAAGTCCCCTCTGGTCAACAAAGTGATGACTGCACCCACCCCCGCCATGATTGCCCCGGCGCCGCTTATCTCCGCCACACATTCACTGTCTCTGTCTCGCATGGAGATCAAAGAGATAGCCAGCCGCACACGGAAGGAGCTGCTTGGTATTCTGAAATATAAATACAGTGCCTTACAAAGCCTTCACATGCCTTGAACTTTTTCAGATTTAAGCACAAACAACAAATGTAAAGTATTTCATTTCAGTGCATTATTCTTGAGATTCATTATTGAATTTAGAAATATTTTTGACTTTGATGCAAGAAAATGCTTTGATCTAAATCTGTCCTCTGTGACCTTGCTTGTGTAATCAGGTATATTGCTAAGTTAGATGGAAAACCACCCCAAACAGGTTTTCTTCCAAAAAGCAGCTTCCCTGTCTGTACTGAAGGTGATGATGCTGCCACCACCATGCTTCACAAGGGATATCTTGTACTTGGTGCACTGTTTTTATCACATAATTTTTATGAAAGTAGGCTTAAGTGTTACATTGTGGCCTTGTCTAACCTTAATACCTTTTTGAATTATGGCCTCTAAAAGGTGTGTAGAAAACTGCAAAAGTGATGACTTTCTTTTTCCTTCTCTTCCAAAAGGCTACACTATGTTTATGGTTTACACCTAGTTTTTTTTGTTTTTCTGTCTGTCGAATGAAATGTATAAGAAAAATAGCACTGAAGTTTGTAGTTTGCGTTTGAAACTTTATAAAATTAGGAAAAGCTGCAGGTGTGTAAATACCGATGCATTTGCCGGCGCCACATTGGGATTTGTTTCAGGGTGGCAGCATCACTAACTTTCTGTTTTCTCTTATCGATAAAGGCCTGACAGAGGAGCCAAGCGGGAAGTCGGACAGCGGATCAGTCAAACAGAGGAAAATGAGCAAAAAGAACACTGAAGAGGAGCCCAAGGCTCGAGCTCTGACGTCAACAAACAGTGACAGGTAAGACAATCAGCACTAGAGACCTGCAGCAGTTTTTTTTTTTTGGGGGGGGGGGTTAATTTCAGAGTTTGACTGCTCTCTTTTCAACAGGTTAGCCTCAGAGTCGACCGAAGCAGAGCTCGACGCCCAGCTGCACTGCTCCTCTGCTTTGGAGGTTGATCCTGAGATGGTGGTGCTGCAGGAAGAGAGTCCGCCCCTCGCCAGCGCGTTCACTCTCTCCACATCCTTTGAAGATGATGTCTTGGACCTAAAGTGAAGACAATCCTGTTGTGCACTTCTTTGCTCCTGTACTTTTGTGCTGTCACAGTCATTTTGTTTTTTTATTTGCTTTGCTTTTAATTGGTTTGTTGAAATAATCCCTTGCCTTTTAATAGCCCGGGTCTGCACCTAGGATCTCCATCAGGTTATGGTGGGAGTGACAAAACATGCCTCTGCGCATGTGGATCATGCTGCGTTGGGTGCTTGTATGGCCCTGCAGCTGATAACCCAAAAAGGGTATGAGGTTGTGCGAGATGCCTGGGTGTGTTTCAACATCTACAGTAGCTTAGAGAGAGGGATTTGGGCTGAAACTGCAACCTGGACGTAGATCTCCAAACATCCGTGCATCTGCACGCAGTTCTCTCCGAAGCCACTGTCTATGTGTTGTATATTGTTTGAGATCCGCTTGCAAATGTTGTATGATAATGCTCTGTATCTGTACATCGGTTTATACACCAAACTGCATATAGTGCCAGGCACATCTGCCTGATCTGTTCTAAATATTTATAGATATGTTATAAAACTCAGTTTTGCTCCAGCCTTCAGTGAAATAATGTTTTCTGCTCTCTGCACCTATCCCCACTCACTGCTAAACAGGTTGAAAGGGCAGGAGCCAAAGTCTCCCTAAGTGCCACTGTAGCGTCTGGCAGCAGCAGCCATGACTTTGGTCCACATTACAAAAGCTTTTCTCCAACTTCAGTTCAATCAAGAGACCAACGCTAAACCAGCATGGCTGACATCTGGTGCTGAAAAAGTAACAAGTTAACTAAAATCATGTCTGCAGTGTAGGTGCTGGATGATTAATTTTAATTTAAATACAATTTTAGAAGGAAGGAAAGAGTTGGAACATATTCAAACCATAAGGAAGGATTTTTTATTTTTAGTTTAAGAGAAAACAAGGTTTCACAAAACTATCCAGACAAATAAAGCCTAAATATATATACATATATATATATATATATAAATGTGAAATAAATACTATATATCTCTATAAATTCATAATGAATATATAATATTGTTTTTTTTTTTGTGTCTCCGTTACACTTTGTACTTGTTGAAAACCCACATCAAAATCCACACTCAAAGTTTGGACTTTTGGAAAAATTTTATAATATGAAAATAAATACTATTTCGGGTTTTTTTTTCATTTGTTATTAGAGAAATTTCTACCTGACATAAAAAAAATGAAACAACCCAAATATGAGACATCTACAAATGACATTCTTCCACAAAACTGGGCTTTCTTTATTCTCCTCCCACCCGCCATATCTGCATTTTTTTACACATTTTATGTTATGTCAGAATTTTTAACAATCCATAGATTTTACAAGGATTTTAGATAATAGACCAAAACAAAGCAGATTGTTATTATGGAATACAAAAAAAATTATGCATGGTAGTCAAAATTGTCAATATACACCTGAAATATGTACTGCAATGTGTTCAGCCGCCATTCAAGTTTATTTTATGGTTAAATCTTTTTACAGCTGTCACTGTTTCATACTGGCCCAATTTCATCTTAAAGGTTGATAATATTAGATGATCTAAGACTTATGTTGTCAATTTATTCCAATTCTGTGCTAGTTATAAACATTGCGGTAAACATAAATTTTTATACTTTTTTTTTTTTTTTTTTTTAATCAGCTCAAACTCAATTAGCAGGTCTTGTCACAGATTCTCAGTTGCGTTTAGGTTTGAACTTTGACCAGGAGATACTTGCAAATGAAAAAGCTTTGAGCTTAGCTACCTCAGGTTGCTTCAGCTGTATCTTTAGAGCTGTTGGACAGGGAACGTCCACCCAGACTTCATTCATATTCCTATTAACTCGTACCAGCTTACCTGTCCCTGCTGGAGGAAGGCTGTCAGTGTGAATGGTGTGTTTAGAGTATTGCTCAGTTAGTTTAACACCTTTCACCTGTTTGCTGTGTCTCCCATATGGCTTAGGGGGAATTTAAAAAGGGAATTCTCATTCCTTTCATGGCAGAATGGCCTCTTTTATCAAAGGAACTTCATAATTCTTCACTGCCTTGTGTTGGTCTATCAGTATAATCCAAGTAAAAAGTATTTAAGTCTGTGGTTATAACATGACAAAATGTGGACAAATTAAAAAAAACTAGAGTTAAGTTTGCATGGAACTTTAGATTGTCAAACAAACTACCTGGTATAAGTCTTACATCCACTTCCAAAGTACATTGCAAAAACGATCTAGAAATAAGTAAAAATTTCTTAAAATAAGTGTATTTACACCTATTTTGAGCAGGTCAATAAAGTGATTTAGCCAATGGAATGATTATTATTAACTCTAATATGCGCTTGAAATAGGACAATGCAATTCTTTTTTTCTTATTTCAAATGTAAATTGTCTTGTTCCATTGGCAAGGTGTCTCACTTACCTCCCAATTCAAGAAAAAAAATTCACTTATTTGAAGAAAAAAATGTCCTTTTTAGATTAAAAAAATTTTTTGCAGTGTACATGTCATTTTACAGCAACGTAAGTGCCTGAAAACGAATGCGAAGTGGCCTCACGGCAGCCAAAGACATTCTTGAAGATTAGACTGAGATTTCATGCTTTTGGTGTTACGCGGCGGATGACGAGCGGGCGTCACTGAGTTCATGTAGACCTCTCACATCATTATTATGGGAAACTTTCAGACCAAGAAAATAAAACAGCCAACAAGGCAAACTGAAGCCACAGCAGACCGTAGATAACACACTGTTATCTATGTGGCACTGATTATATATTAAATATTAAAACATATTTTATCTGAACTGCCTTTCTCTATTCATATTCAAGTACTGCACAGCTTATTCCAATTCATGTCAGACAGACTCCAATATATATTAAACAGTACCATCTTAACAGATTTTCTCATCCAGGTTCACATATTTTTTATCTATTTTTTTTTTACAATGAAACTTGTATGAAGACAGCATAATATTTTGAATCTCAGTTTATGGAAAGATTCTGCTTAAGTTGTATCTACCTTGCAACTGACCTGACCATGTGGAAACGTCTTCTCCAATTATCTGTCTGGAGAAATATAATGTTCAGAGTCAGTTTGGCCAGAAGGAAGACAAGGTTCTCCACAATCCTTTTACATCTAACTGTGAATGTTGCCTTCATTAATATATTTACAACTGGGACGGTTTGCAGAGCAGCAGGGTAGAACAAAAATAGAAAGAGGAGATAAGATTTGCACTGGGAATCCTAAGGTAAGGTGGGTAGGAAGTGTCTCTTTATACTATTAAATATTTCACAAGAAAACAACAACAGTGGGATGTTGCATGAGCCTCTTTCTTCCTCCCCCCTCAAGCTTCTTTCTCTGTTCCTCTGCCTGCCACAGCATGAATCCCCCCCAAACACTCCTATAACTCAAAGGGGGGGATAACCCTACTACTTCAAATCTTATCTCTCTGAATTAAAGGTGATCAAGGGAAAAACACTGCTTGACTGACTCACAGGAGTCATGTTTTATGTACTTTTGCTCAAGTTACACTTTCTCTTGGCTTTTTCACTTGTTTTCCCCTTTTTTGTAATAAAATCTATATTTCCTGTTTAGATTGTCGCTGAACTTATCTGTGATATCAAAATGAAAGAAAACGTATAAAAACAAATACACCAAGTGTCTTAAAATATTGTATCGCCATCGTTTTTAAAGCCAAGTAATACTTGTAAATGTTTGTGCATCAAATGTGGCCTCAAATGAAACAGAACTATATTATTATTATTTAAACTGTTATTTTAAAGAAGTGCTGTAGACCACTGCTGTGAAAGTAGTTGATTTTGTTCATTAATATGTAATAAATATTTATGGAATTTTAGCTGTATGACTCATTGGATTTGGTTTATTGGTCCACCTTTATGGGGTTGGGGTATAGCCCTATATTGTATGACTGACATGTGCATCAACAGCTAAAAAAATGAATAGTGTTTGGCAATAAATCAGAGTTTTTCCTGTTTTAGGTTTCTAAACAGTTAAGATTGTGAAGATAGACCATCCTGCAAAAAAAAACACACAACATGATCCCAACACCCTCGTACTTCATAGTTCAGTTGGAAGTTTTTTCTCATGGTTGCCAGATACCTAAATTACACTTCCATTCAATCCCAGGATTTTAAGCCAAAAATAAATGATTTGTCCCTGACTGAATTTATAAATTGTGGATAAGGAACTCTCCTACAGGCATGAGACATCATCTTTAAAAGGTCACCTTTTAAACTAAAATCTGTACAATTCTGGGACACAACCCGTTCCAATCCACTTTCTCTATATAGCAAATACAACTACAGAAATGTTTCCAATGTGCTGTTCATTAAATCAAACAAAAAAACCATTGCACACACAAAAAAGCAGTAAGAGTTTAAAATAAATAAATAAATGAAAAGGACACAGAGGACCACACAATTATGCGGTGTTAAAAGCCAAAGAGTTTAAGTCAGTGTGGGTCTTAAAACACTCCAATGTTGAGGCTGTTCTTATATGGAGGGCCAAAGTATTTCAAAATCTTGAGCTAACCACAGAAAAGGCTCTCTACCCTCTGGTTTTAGGCCTTGTCTTATCCACTATTAGCTGAAGATGGCCCTCAGACCTCAGAGCACGCGCTAGAGAGTAAATCTGAAGGAGGTCCATAATGTATTAAGGAGTCATCCCATTCAAAGCTCTTAACACAAACAATAAAATCTTTAAAAATGAATCTAAAATGAACAGGTTGAAGTGTAGAGACGTTAAGAATTGGTGTAACGTGTCAAAAAATAAGCTGCTGTTACACTAACTGCAGATGGGAGAGAGCTTTTTGGATAATGCCTGCATAAAGTGCATTACAGTATTCCAGGCAGCTAGAAAAAAAAGAGTGTAAAACCTGCGCAAAGAGGTGAAAGGATAAAAATGGTTTTACCAAAAACAGAGATGATAAAACTACAATTTTAAAATTCTGGTTTTTTTTCTTTTTGTCCAGTGTAAAATCTCTGTCCATGGTGACCCACAGGCTGGTTACTTTGGAACGTACAAAATCCTTGAATGGTTCCAATTTAGAAATGCCACTGCCAAACACTATCACCTCTGTCTTGCTCTCATTTAGTTTCTGAAAATGTTTTGATAACCAAGCCTTGATGTTACCCAGACAGTCGAGTAGGTGTGTTTAAACCCATGTCTGTTTAGACCAGAATTTATCCAAACATGTAAATGAGGAATCCTCAGGAATCTGGAAACCAAACCTAATAAGGAGTCTTAAAGGTCCATAATTACCTTCCTAAAAACTTTCCTGAAACTATTTTAATTTCCAACAATGTAACACTAGGAAGTAGTGGTTCTTCTTTACATCCAAAGGAAGGCTCAGTTTGTCTCAAATATTTCCAATCAGAAGCTTAGAAAGTCAGATAATGTATTCTTTAATCATTTCAATTGTTTTATTATATAACTTTATGCAACTCAGTTAGNGCTGTATAAGTTATCTTTATTCCTCTGGAGTTTATGCGGCCAATGAGGTATGACTTTGTTTTACTTATATTTATTTGTGTAAAGCTTTATGTTTGTTTTGAGCTAATTTGGGTTCTGTTTCCCTTCTTAGTTCTGACGGCATTTTTTGGGGCTTTGTAAGACGTGTCCACAATAAATGGCTGTTAAAACCAAAAGAACGACGTTGAGCCTTGATTATCTCTAGAGGAGTAACACTCAGTTTGGCTCAAATATTTCCAATCAGAAGCTTAGAAAGTCAGATAATGTATTCTTTAATCATTTCAATCATTTTATTATATAACTTTATGCAACTCAGTTAGTTTTAGGGGTGACTTTAAGAATGCAAACAGGCTGCAATGGAAGAAAAGCTTGCTACTGATTGGTGCACCAGATGCATTCCAGCATTCCACATGTCGGTCTTCATCAGATCTCTCCCAGCCTTACCCGCAGCTGACTTTCAGATTAAAAGGATCTGCCACCATTTTAGGAAAATATAGCATTGTAGATTAGATTTAAATCTTTCCCTCAATGTTTAATCAGCCTTGGTTCAGAGAGCTACAACGATTTCACTGGAAATCTGAGTCATACCCGCATGCACTATTGGTCCAGAAAGTGCAAAAGGCAAAGTAAAACAAGGCTCAATGACTATAGGGCAGTGAGGCTAACGTTTGTAGTCATGAAAAAACAAGAGTGACACTTTTCTGAATCCTCTGCAGTTTCCAAATAGAGAAAAATCGTCTGTAGAAGGTGCTTTTTACCTGGCTCTTTGGTTCTGCTTTTACTTTTGTGGGACTATTTTTCTGATGGAAGTTCTCCAGCTCTGTGTACCAGATTACACCTAGATCACTGACATCCTTACCACCAGACGTCATAATACCCTCGGGTGAACACACTTTCCAAACAGAGCTACCACAAGGTTGTGCTCTTGCATTCCTGCTTTTCAGCCTTTGTCTCAGCTCCTAGTCAGATTCAGTGGTATAAAACAAAGGTTGGATCTGTCATAAGGCTTTTCATAACTATATATTTCCACTCTTTGAAAAGGAAGGGGGAAGCCAGGGTGCAGCAGATAGAAGTACCAGGCTGAATCATGGGCTGTATCACTCATTTTTTTTAGGCATCTACAGCAGGATATGCAGGTTGAATCATAACTGATCTATTTTACCCCGAAATTCGCACCCATAAGCCCTTGCTATCTGACCAAAAACCTTGAATCTACCAGAATTATTCAAACAGCTTTTAAATTGCACCATTGGGAAAAATTGCAACTTGCAAGTAAAGCATTAAATTCTTTTTCACGCCCCTCCCCCATGCAACATAATGTTAATAATAATTGTATATTATCCACTTTGCATTCATTACACTGCATATTAACGTATTTTTTTTTTTTTATTTCTCTGTACGAGAAGGCAGTGTCATTGGTACACTTTTATTTACAATGCCCTTCTTGGATTACTGCCCTCTAACATTTGTACCTTACTTACACAGAAAAGCATGGCTTCTTATGCCCTGAGATCCAACGATCAGCTGTTGCTCACTGTTCCTTTTGCCCGCATAGAACTAGGGAAGAAAGCCCTTAGCTATAAGTGCTATAAGCTTATCTATAATTGTTTTACTTGATATGTTTTTTATTTTTTATGTACCTCTCATTTATTTTAATGTATCTATGTTTAATGTATCTTATGTAACTTTGCTGCCTCTTGGCCAGGACTCCCTTGAAAAACAAGTTTTTAATCTCAATGGGATTTTTTCCTGGTTAAATAAAGGTTAAATAAAAAAAAGGCCACACCCTCTCTTTGAGATGCTGGATTTATATACCTTCCATTAACAGAAAGTTCAGATAAAGATACAATTTTTGCAGAAAAAAAGAAGAACTGTGCAAATTAAATTGATATGATCAACATGAATAACCACCCACTGGATGTCCTTCGGATATGGTAGGAAAAACACAGATTTCAAAGCTAACTTGAAGCTAGTTTGTGCTTCAGTTTATTAATCCAGCAGATATTCAAGCATGCGGTTCATGCTTGCAGACTAAAAACTTGACACTCATTTAGAGGTGCCAAAGGCTACTGTTGCAAAAATGTTAAAATATTTTAAAGTGATGAGTAAAATGAGTTTAAAAAAAAAAAAAAAGATCTCCAAAGATCATGAGAGTACTGCAGCAGAAAGTGGCAGTTTGGGATCATCAATTGTTTAAAATCACTTTTTACACCTTCTTCACCAGGCTTGTAAACATAGGAATATTCACAATATTACCGCAAGGTGGTGCTAAATATTCATTTATGCGCCTATGGAGCATTTAAAACCTTTCTATCCTTTATGCTAAGTCTATTTTATGACACTTTCTTTGTTGGTTTGAGCCCTCTGCTCATTTGACCACAGCATAAGTAGCCTGGTATATAATTTCAATGCTTATGGTGGAAGGTTGAAAACTTAAAACAGAGCTTTTTGTCAAAGTTTTAACTTTATCTGCACAAAAATAATGAAAGCAAAAGAAACTTAAACAATAAGGTGTACTTTGTGGAAGTGTATTAAAGGAGCAGGGTCATAAGGTAAAACTGACACTTAAAGAAGAAGAGTTTGAAAAGAGTAAAGACACACCCGTGTTCTTTGCACGTGAACTTTATGTGTCTCCCAGATTATATGTATTGTCAGAGCTCTTTCTTTCATAACTGGGATTTTCCAGTCCTCCCACGGACTAGGTCACTTCTAATATGTCTTTTGTGTAGGAAAAAAAAGAGAGAATAAGGACAAAAAAAAAAAAAAAAAAGATTTTGTACCACAAAAGATTCCAGCTCTGTACGCTAATGTTTAGGTATCTTGAGTAGTTGGAAAATAACCAGAAGTGGGATTACTGGAATGACACAGTTTTAAAAAAGTGGCTTTAGGTTAAGCGAATGGAAAAAATACTGCCGACAGGGGCAAAGAAAATATTTCAGAATGCACACACACAATGCATTTGCTCTAACCGTGGATGGATGACTTGGCATTAAAGAGCAAATACATTCATGATGCTCCCCAGTTATTTCCCAACCCCCCTCTTGTAATGAAAATGTGCACAGCCTGGTCCAAAGTCTTACGTAATGGGTGCAGGAATGCTGGAGCTTTGCCTCAGACTTCTGGATCATCTCACTCACACATAAAAAAAAATGGGGCCTCATCCCCTTAAAAAGAAAAACAGTCTCTGCAGGACTGATTAAAAAAAAAAACCTGACGGTTAAAATTACAACTCTTGCAAAGCTTGTTCTTGTTAGGTTAAAAACTGTCTTACTACTTAGAAAAATATACATAGATGTGTCCACATACCTAAACAAAGTAATAAATTGAAGTTCCAAACCCTTGAAGGAAACCTCTGATTTTCTTTCCTTGCAGGCTGTTAAGACAAGTTTCTCCCTCATTCCTTTTCACAGGAGACTTGTTTTGACTCTCACAGGAAAAGCTGCAAATAAAGGCTAGTAAACATTTCAAAACCTCTGTCAGGACCCATTTTAATGTTGCTGAGTGTAGTATCTAAACAAGGTTTAACAATAAAGGTAAAACACACAAAGGTAACAGACTATGCAATGAAAAGTATACAAAAACACATTAATGGCGCCCTTTTCTTCAGTGTAAACACAGGAAAGGTCAGGGCAGAGGAGGGCTTAATCACTGCAAATACATTAAAGTACAGCAAATACTAAAAATAGACTAACACACAAAACGCATGCAAAAGAAAAATGCTGCAAGTAGCCAAAATAACTGCAAGTCAAGAGATCCAGACCGCTAGGAGGAGACGATCATCAGCTCCTATGGGACCAGACCATAGACATTACAAAGGCTAAATACGAATACCTCGACCCAATCCCAAACTGACCCCTAAAACACCACACATATGCACTAACCACCCAATTGAACGTTCTTACAAAGGGTCCGCCACATTAAGGGTTGTCCCAAACCATGTATTGGGTAGGGTAAGAGGAACACTCAAATAGCGAGTCTGCATCAGCCAAGACTTGGGGTCCAATCCCAAACCTCCCCTTAAACACTACCCCTTAACTATTGAATGAGAATGGGAGGCCCTCCCTCCACTGGTAAAGGAAAGCAGTCGTTACTATGGCAACACAGTGACGTCATGTCCTTCTGTAAAAGTTCAAAAAAAAAAGTTCATCGGTTACCATTTGCATGTTTCCAAGCGATACAAGGCTTTGACTATAAGACTCAAACTCACTGCGGATCCAGACATTTGAATTGAGAAAGCTTCCTGGAGAGGTGGCGAAACGTCTTCAAATCTTGGAAACCAAGTCCAGTGGATATTTTTTGAACTTTTACGGAATGACTATGACCTGGATGACTGAGAATCTTCATCCGCATAGTGATGTCATGTGTACGGCTGTAGCGCTGTGGTGCAGGTTGACGTGAAATCTCATTTCTTAAAAATAAGTTTATACTGCCCAATAAAACCATTTCAAAGAGCTTTCTGTCAGCTTGAAAAAGATGCAGCTAAGTGAGTGGGTTTTATTGATTAGAACTTTGTGTAACTTCTGTTCTTTGTAGTTCTTCTACAGAAAAGGTTTAGTCCCGATCTGACCAGCCTGGTTCGTGTGTGTGTCCACCGTGCAATAACGTCCATAAGGCTGCAAACTGCACAGCAGTCTGAATCTCTTTCCTACCCTGGACAGTGTTCTAACTATTTACTTTGCACAATTTGGAAGGAGCTTCTGTCTCTGAGAATCCTTTTTATGTCTTTACTTAGGGTCCTATTCCAAATGAGCAGATGATCATGTCCCTCTAGTGGTCTGGAGTATTTCAGTCATTCAGTCATTTTTTCCTTAGCATCATTTATGTATTTGCAGTAACTTTGCTTCTTTGCATACATTTTGTGTCCTGGTCCAAATTTTAGTTTGCAGTACTTTTTATTTGTGCCTCTTAGCCACTGTACAAAAAAACAGCCCAAATTGGCTTTGAAACAAAAACTGTATTTATAAAAGGTTTCAAAGTTGTTGTTTTTTTTTTCAGATCAGCAACAAACTTCATTAGGTACACTAGAACAGTCCATGGCATTGTAACATTATACTTCAAAATATGTTAAGATATCACATTTTTAAACATAATAAAATACTGACATTTTCTTACTTTAAAAGAAATAAAAAAAAAAAAAGAGACAGGCGTAAATCAACACCTTATATTGCACTCCAACTGTCTTTCCAAAGGAACCCGTAGTTAACCCCTCTGATGATTTCCAAAGAGTTTTCTGGTTTTCTTTTCTCCAAAAGTCTTTAAATGCTAGGCGTAAGCTGCCACTGACATGAGGATCTGCACAGCCATGGAAACACAGGGTACCTGTGCAGCAGTGTAGGCCAGAGAGCGGGTAGGTGCTTGCAAAGCCAACAGGTAGGCAAGGCTGTGCAAAACACGGGCGAGAAAAAACACGACAAAGTGAAAACGAGCCACTGTTAGCGAAGGTCCGGTCAAGGAGTAGACAGCCCCCAGGAAAAGGAAGGGCAGGATGTTCTCCAAGTCGTTCAGGTGAGCCCTAAGGAAGAGATAAGATTTAGAATATGAATGGATATTTTTTGAACCCTCCCTTAATCACTTTCCTGTCGGACCCGCCCCTTCCTGCTGCCCACTCAGTCAATAACATTAGCAGGCCAAAACTCATATTTCCCACACTTACAACCTGGAGTACCAAGCCCAGGGTGTCACAGAAACCAAGATAATCAATGGATTCCTGGGAGAAACCTCCTACCAATTCAAGAACAACTGGTTTTACCTACTAAAGACTATTCAGGTGGTAAGCGGATAGCTCCTTTTAACTGGTTTAGCAAAAAGAAATAAAACGTACTTTAAATATAAAATAATGGTTATATAATTAAGGTGAACCATTCGTAGATTCAAGGCAACATTATGAATGGAAACGGAATGATAAAAGGCCATGAATGAGATTTTCTAGGTGTTACATAATGGCTGCATGTTAATTATGAATAGTTTGATGTAGGACACCCAGACAGCCTATCTTTATTCGCTTCTAAACTGATTAACCCATCCCCCAATCTGAGCCTAAGCTAATACCCATAACGTGCCAAACTGAGTTTCCCCAAAATGGATTAATTTGGCTCAACACCAAATCTTTGTGTTAGAACCAATTAAGTCATCAATTAGTCAGGGCATAGCCTAGATGGGCCCCATTTAAGCATATTGGCCAACAATTACAAATAGGACTCATTTGGTTGGGTAACGGTGGTTACAAAAAGCTCCTTTTAGTCAAAGCTCACTTAATACATAGACAGCCTGAACCATACCTAGATAGGGGTCCACAGAAACATAACAAACTTTCTGTTACAGGGTTTTACATGTCAAAATAGCCATAAAACTTATTTTGCTTTTAAATATAAATATTAATAGGATTAAAAAGTTGAATTTTGTACTTTGAAATAATCTATTTTGAGCTCTGATTTACTTAGTGCCCTGATGAAGGGCAATAGAGAAAATAGGGTTGAAAAAATGATAAAGTGGTTTTTAAATAGTTTAGTTAATGCTGTCTAACCTAACCTTGTGGACCTCTAGAAACCCATCCACCCTGTGCAAAACCCCCATTGAGGCCCGTATGCACCTCTTAGCTCTGATGAGGCTATCACAGCATTTTAAATTTAGAAAATGTCACAATGGTAGCACACAAAGGAGGCTCAAACTGTACGAAACAGAACTCTGAAGCCAGAATATTAGACGGCATCAGCAGTAGTCTGTGAATGTGTGACTCAGCCTATGAGGTAGAAATATGACAAGTTATGAGCAAAGCAGTGACTCAATGTGGATGTGGATTTCACTTGTAAAGAAATGAGCACCCCCAGGTTAAATTCCCTGTTTGTTTAAGTAAGGGTGAGTATTTGGGAATTTCTCTGTATCAATGGATGTCCCACTCTTTGTGCAGAATCAGCAATACCCGGCTGGTATGTAGATCTGGGATAAATGGAGTCAGGCTACCAGAGAACTTTCCTGCTTCCTTTCCTCTGATTTTACTGCTAGCTACTAAAATATTTGGTTAGGAACCCTGCCACTCCATCAGCAGGAGGCTTTGATATGGGCTTAATGGCACGTAGCTTTGTAACCTCTAAAAAAAAGTTTTTAGTGAGAGTTCAACATGGTTTAAGACTCGGGAAAAAAACAGAAGTGAAGCTTCTCTTTTCTTTTTACAAGCAGAAAAAAAACCATCAGTTCTCCCTTTATTCCCCTTCCAATCTGATATCCCTTTTCCAACATGTTATAACAGACCAGTTTTCAAGCAGGCCGCTTTAAATGAAAATCAGTAGAGAACACAAAAACAAACAAAAACCCTCCATTTAGGACATAATCCTGCATGTTTGTGTTCAATTCTTCAAGGTTATAATAACTGCACAAACCTGTATTAGCAATATAGAGCATGATCAGGGGTGGAGCTAATGGGGGGCCATCATTGGCCACCCCAACCATTTTTCCCCTCTAATACAGATGGTGGCCGCAGGAATACTCTCAAGGGGAATTTTCATTCATTTAACATTTCTTTTTTTTTGTGGTTAATTATACACAGCAATAAACTAACATCAAAGATGATAAATACAGAATTAATGCTCTTTTCAGAACTAGATTTTGTGTTTTATGGGGTAAAGAGAAAACGTGTCTCTGCAAGTCATCTAGTAGTCTTCAGTGAAATCATAGATAAATAGCTATTTTAATAAAAAATGTATCAAATAATCAATTTATGTAGATATTAGTGCTTGTAAATATCAATTTTATGCAGAATATTTATTGAAACAAGAAGTTAATTAATGACAATGATGATTGATTTACACCCCAGAACTCAAAACTGAGTTTTATCCACTATACTTATACCATCGATGTTTAAATGTATGTGTCTATTTGTTAGCAAAGGCTGTAGGAAAGTATAGTTTGTCTTTATTTAGAAAATATGGATGTTTTTCTCGTTAATTTTCCTGTTTGAACAGTGTAGATTCACCCAGAGGTTCGCCCCCCCTCACTGTACATTGGTTATTGTCTGGCCACCCTTACAAAAGTGTCTGGCTACGCCTCTGTGCATGGTTAACCAGTGATTGTTTGCCTGTAAATAAAAATCAGACCTTTCCTATCAGGTTAAAAACTTTGTGCGCTCCTACCTCCGGCATCTTTCCACATATGGATCCTCTCTGTGAAACTGTAACCCTCCGTGTCTGAGCGCGTCCTCTGGGTTGGCAAAAGCCTTTTAGAAATCAGGAAGAGAGCAAAAATTCAATGAAAAAAGGATGAATCTAACAGAAAACTTAGATTAAACTAATAATCACTTATTAAATCTCCCACCTTCTTGCGCAGCCTGACTTGTCCCGTTATGACCGCGATGGTGTACATTTTAATCACCAGCAGGACCGCGTAGAAAACAAAACAGGAGAAAACCTCGTTTCTTATCATGACTGAAGTTTAATGACCGTCAGCGGTGAGTTAACAGCTCCAAAGCCGCCAGGTTGCAGAAAGTGAGATTTAGTCCTGAAGGGAGGAGGGTTTTATTGCTGGCTCTGCCTCCACCCACCTACAGAAAAAAGATGACTGGCTCACACCAACGGAAGTGTTTGATTTATGACACACAAATTCACCCAGATTGTAAAACTCGGTAAAGTTTAACTTTTTTTTTTTTTTTTACCATGAGCGGTTTTAGACAGGGGGCAATGGGGGCCAGTGCCCCTGTAGATCATATCCTGGCCCCTGTTATGGCCCCTGTACTGAAGACATAATACTAAAAAGAAATTCTAATGATGATATGTGCTGGAACAGATATGGTTACTGATAGGTCCTTTGGATCTATTTCATGTTTTTTTGGAAAGGCAAATTTATTTGTATAGCACAATTCAGTACAAAGACAATTCAAAGTGCTTTACATGATTAAAATATAGGAAGATAAAACAGAATCAAAGCAAGTAGGAAAAAATGCAGAAACAAAAAGGAACATTAAAAACAGTTGGACTAAAGAAAATAAAAAAGTTTATAATAATTCTGTTTTACTAATTATTTTAAAACAATAAGGGGATAGCTTCAGTGGTTTCGAGATAGGATCCCAGTTTTCATCTGCTACATTTTTTTTTCAAAACAAATTTTAATTTTTACATCTGAATTTGTATATAATAAGACATAGAATTTTAATTTAACCTAATTGAATAGAAATTTCTATTCATGCAGCACTCTTTATATGTATGAATCCCTTGCCCTGTTTTTTATTTCATTGCTTTCTGTGACCCCATGAAAACACGCTGGCCCCCTCCTGGCCCCCTGGTATGTTTGGTCTAGAACAGCCACTGATCTTTATACAAAAAAACATTGAACTTTTATTCAGTCAATTACATTTCAAATCTTTTTCAAACAGATTAAGGGCATTTTCTTTATTTAATTTTGCTCTTTTACCTGTTTTAAATAATCTAACAAGTTATAGAACGGAGCCGCTTTTAAATTCTGATTTAATTCATTAAAGAATAAAAGCTGATTAAACCAACCAAAGTCTTACATAATTCTTCTGAAAAGCTATATTTACTGGTAAAATGAACACTTCTTGGTATTATTTCACATGCCACATTGTGAGGGATTTGCACAAACCAGCCAAAAAACCACTGAAATTTTTCTAAAAAGGTCATAATTTGTTTAAAAAAAGTGTTTAAAAAAATGATAAACTGGGCCTAAAAACAGAGGTCAACAAAACAGACTTCAATTCAGATACTAACATAAAGAATTCAAGCACAAGCTGACCTAACAAACAAGATATGAGGGAAACTTAAATAGTGGCTGATCAGACCACTGTTGACACACAATTGGGGGTAACTGACTAACAAATTAACAAACAAATAAACTTAATTAAACAGATAAATACTGGCCAGACACAAAGTACTTTTTAAATTTAACAAATTAACAAAATTACCCAAACTAAGAATATTTAAACAAATGATAAACAAATTTCCCTTCCCATTACAAATGGTTTGACCCGCTGATTAGCCTGCAACAACCAATTGAGGAAAGCTGGAGCTCATTGCAGCCCTCCACCAGCAGATCCAAAGGAAAATGGTAACTCAAAGAAAAAGAAATGAATCAATTGCATCTAAACAAAAAAAACAACCTGACAAAGTTTACTAAATGTGTGCACTGCAAAAAATCTAACTTAAAGTTAGGCTAATGAAAATGTATAAAATGTGCACCTCATTTTGAAAATTAAAAATATAAGTTGTGGTGTTAAGAAGTCATATAAATTGAAACTGCCTTACAATAGAAATAGGTTAAAGACATTAAAAAGCAGCACATCTGAGTGATTTGAAAAAATAAATAAATCATAGATAAAAAAAAAATTAAAAGAGACCTATTTGGAAAAGGTACAAATACATTTTTAAGGATTTTGGACTCTAGGAAATGTAGAGCAATGTTATCCACAATTAGAGAAAACCTTTAAGCCCTCTGGTGTCAGTCTACCAGAATCACTCCAAGGGTGAATGTCTCACCCCAGGGCTTTTCAAAAGAACGCTGAACTGTCTGAGTCAAGGCTCAACAAGGTTTATACCACTGCTGGAGGAAATGAACCCAGAGGCCTTCCGTCCCAATAACTCTAGTCCATCCCCCCATTGAGCTCCTATATAAACACTTTAAATCCTGTTTTTAACACACACCTTTTCTTGGAGTCAGTTTTCCTTCTTTGAATTAAGAATTCCTGGTAACTTTTTATTTTACGGATCCATAACTTCACTTCCCCTCAGTTTCTAAGAAGTGAGGCAAAGAAGCATTTCCTAGCCCCTCTTTACAATGAAACATTTCCAGAACATATTCAGAATGACATGGTCTGAAAGTAGCAAATTAACTAATATGTCTATAAGTAAATCAGAAGATAGAAGTTAGCTTATCTTATAATCACACGAAGAAGGGGAGGGAAAAAATGGTTAAATACCATTAAAACATACTTTCCATTAAATATATAATGGCCTATTTTAAACTAGAAATTAAATGGAAACAAGAAAAATGAAATAAGATTATATCGTGGCCACTCAATAAGAACGTAGGATTGAAAATAAAAAAAATCATGCACGTAATCATAGAAAGGGTTAAGGCTTTTTCATACATTTTCATATGCCAACCCTTTTCACAAATAATGACTTACACATTTCCTATTAAAACATATTCTGAAACAGCCCTTAACAAAAAGCATTTTGGATTAAAATGTACTGTTGAAACACTGTTTGCCTTGGTAAGAAGTAGGGTTGACATTCTTAATTTAATTATGCATTTAGGGTCAGATTAAGGTAATTTACGGTTGAATGGCTGAACATCTCAGCACATCCAGCAGGGACAGAACTTTAAAAATCTACAATCATGCAGTCAGTCCAATATACTGCTTTTAAAATAAGATTGTGGTTAGGGATAAGAGAAAAGAACTAGACTGGAGTGTAAAAGAGCAAGCACAAGGCGTGAGTAACAAATATGATAGAGATATTCTGAATGACCAAGAATCGAGAAGATCTATCTACACTGAAATCAGGACGAAAAAGGACAAAGGTCAACTGTTAATAAAAAAATATTAGTTAATTAGTTAAAAAATATAAGTTATCAGAAAGAGGATTTTAATTTACCAAAATTAGATCAGATATAAAAAAAAAATAAAAAAAAAATTAAAAATGGAGAAAAAAACGTGTTTGTTTATGCCAATTTTCCCTCTAAAAAAAGTATGTTGAGAAGGTATCTTTATAAGTGTGCTTGTTTCTATTACCTCAAACAAAAGAGTTTTTATTCATATTCTGCATATATATTCTCTATACTGATTATTTATTCTCCAGATGCACAGCATTTATATTGTAAAAACACTTTACAGTACAGTATTTTATTTGTCTATTTTCTTAACTCTGTTACTTATTCTATTTTATTATTAATACACTTTTTTTTAGGTCCACATTTGCGTGACCACATTTGCTGTAATCCTTTCCTGCTGTAACACCACAATTTCCCCATTGTGGGACAATAAAGGGATTTTCTATTCTATTCATCTTAAACTGTTATAAATATAAGCCCTTGAACCAAAAATAATTTCTATAGTTTTCAATGAAGAAGCATTCCAAACACTGTAGTAAGAATGCACCCCCGCCTTAAACATTCTGACAAGGATTCCCATTTCAGGAGCCAACATGTCTTTTCTTCCGTGAACTGTGATGATGATACTCTGAAAATGATCCCATCAGAGCCTGCTGGCAAAATATGGGTTACAAAATTTTCCACTGAAGTTGTGATTCAAGAAAAAGGTGCTTCCGGTGCCCGAATAGCTGCTCTCTGGTGTCCTGGAGTCAACTCTGTCTATTACAGTTGTATATACCTACTTCTGCATTTAGATGCACATTTAATCTGTATACACAAGAGTTTCCTTTTTGATAGTCTAATGTTTTATACATTAAAATAAAAAACAGTATGATTGTTATGTAAACTAAACAGAATGTTATGTAAACTGATCAGACTTAAACATTTGAGTCTGAATAGTTTAAGTGAACAACTCAGGTTAAAGGGGAGCATAGGTCCTCTGATCAAATTATCTGGGCTGCAAGGCTCTGGAATATTTTCTAGGTAAAGAATCTAGTCTCATACTTTGTGATCGTTTCTTCCACACAAAGTTTTCAAATCTTGAACATTCTTGGTTCCTTTTGACTGATTTTTATTTGGATACAAGTCAGATGTTTGGTTGGAAAACTTCAGAACTTTTTTTGTTTTTCCCTTATAACCAGTTAAGATTTTCCAAATGTCCAAGCTTGCTTTTAGCATATGCTGCAAACAACCCGCAACACAACGTTCCCACATGCAAACTTTAGTTTTGGCTTGGTGCTTTTGGAGTTATGTGCAGAGCCATTCTTCCTCCAAACACTAACATCCAGAATGTTCAGCGTTTGGCATAATATCACCAAACAACAGTACACTCTACCAGTATTTTACTGCCTTGTGCAAATCTTCTTCCAAAAACTGTAATCAAGATTGGGTTTCTGCAGCAGTTGGGTCTTATAAATTCAGTGTGCAGATGCCATTGGATTTGGGCCATTTCTTTTTCTTTCTTTTTTTGAGTTTTTACAGCACTAGTGGCTTGTTTTTCTGACAGGAAAGTGGTATGAGACATGCAGCAAAGGAACACAGGCCAGATTCGAACTAACCACTGCGCCACCTGCACACCTGGATTTGGGCCATTTCTTATTTTAATAAAACAGTGGCTGGTGTTTCAAGGTCTTTTTGAAGCCATCTATGGGTTCTCCTTGGATCTTGGAAAACCTCCTAGATTCTATGTTTGAGTCCCTCATCAGGAGTCTTATGACCAAGAACTGAACATGGCTGATTTAAGGCAAATGGTAAAATGATTAATGGCCCTTAATGTAAAGCGCTTCATCAAGTCCAAGGTTTTGTTGTACTTTACTTTGCTCCTTGTTTTCTAGTTTTATTGGTTTAATTCCAGTTTTGTTGTAATTTCTAGAT